AGCTAATTTTTATATTTTTAGTAAAGACGGGGTTTTACCATGTTGGCTAGGCTGGTCTCTAACTCCTGACCTCAGGTGATCCACCCTCCTCAGCCTCCCAAAATGCTGGGATTACAGGTGTGAGCCACAGCGCCCAACTTGAAAAGGTGTTTTCTATAAACAGGCACATTCTCACAGCACTGCAGGCCACCCTTCCCAACTCTGACCTCTGTAGGGGCCTGCAGCACCTATAGCTGCCTGGGTCCATGGTCCCTCAGAATGCTGTTTCCACAGATAGAACTCTCTATAAATCAATTGATCTACATGTGAACAATCTAACCTATATGTGAACACCATGGTGCTGACGAAAATCTTATCTGCAGTGAAAAGAAGACACTAGAGCATCAGACGCATTGTGACTCTAAACAAGTTATCTTTTTCCCTCTTTTGCATTTTTATTTAAAATATCGGGGAGATGAAGCAAGTTCAATTTCTCCAGTTTGAAATGGTTTATAAATCATGCTTCCCTTGTATGCAGAGAGACCTAGATTGACTTTGGGTGTTTAGTCATTCCATTTCATCATCCGTGTCGGAATCTATAATGGGCAAGGGAATCAAATGTAATTAAGTGAGCAAATAATCTCCAATAGCCAATATTCCTACATTGTTTCATTGTTTTATGTGCTTTGCTCTAGACTTTTAATCTGGGCTTTATCTGTAATATCCCCAGAAGGACAGTGAAGGTTTTTGTTAAGGTTTTTGTGTCTGTGTGGATAGCAACTATCGGTTAATCTGGGGCGCTGGGACCAAGCTAATTATAAAGCCAGGTAAGTCTCAGAGACGTGACTGTAAGGGAGAGGAGACACTAGTTGAATAATGCACAAAGTGTAGCATGTAGGTTATATTTTTAAGAACAATTCAGCCTGCTGGAGACAATGCATTCAACCCAAATGGAGTCTCCACTCCCAGTAAGGAGCAATGTCAGCCACCAGCTCTTTTGTTTGGTCCAGTAGCTTCCGGAATGAATAATGCTTAACTAGCCCTCTAAGACAGCAGAGTCAAGTTAGGGAGTATTTAATTCCCTCTGATATGGCTAAAACTTTTCCAAGGACAGAACCAGCCTCATTCCATTGGAAGAGCAAATTCAGAGAAAAAGGAAAGGGTCACAGCCAAAGACAATGAAATATTCAAAGATGAAGAATAGCAAGTCTGCAGCCCTCCTGACATCCTTGCCTCAGGCTGCTGTCCCACATGGAGAGCAGATACCTGCAAAGCTCTAGGTCACTTGCCGGGGTTACTCAGGGTTCTGGGCTTTGGGATGTAACTTAAATGGCAGTGTCAGGGCATGTCAGGGGAATATGAAGGCTGCAGCAATGCCTGCAAGTCAGCTTTTGCTGCACTATGACTGAGGTGTTCTAAGCCTGGAAAGACACAAAGCTGTCATCGCCCCATCCTGCCGTGCTCCTCCTTGAGGGTTAGCGTAAGGCTCTGAAGGACTGTGTGAATTATGGCAGTGGTGCAAACAAGCTCATCTTTGGAACTGGCACTCTGCTTGCTGTTCAGCCAAGTACGTGAGTAGTGGCATGTGTTAGGTAGATTCTGTGTCCGTGGCAAGTGGGAAGCAACAGCCACCCTTTGGTGGAAAGGAGGGCTGAAGGTTGACTTTGTTCAGTGCTGTCATCTCTTATCTGACACGATATAGCAGGCTTTCAAAATTTCTCATTCTTCTGGATGGCACACTATAGTCAGGGAAGAGGAAGCTTGCTAATTTTATGATAAACCCCAGGGAGAAAAAGACTACTGTGGGAAAATTTAGTTGATAAAATCAAATTGTTCTCAACTAAATGTTGCAAGCTTATGCTTCTGTGAACCCAATTGCCCAGTCATTCATTGGCTCCGTTCATACCTTTACCTGTGCAGATACAACCTCTGCTAATAACCTATTTATACAATTGTGTGTCTGCTGGTCCAAGCGTCATCTTGTATAGGCCATGCTTTATTTTTCTTCCAAAAGAGACTCCAGAGCCATCCTTGGGAAGCATGCTGAGAAGTCAGGCAAACCTAACTCCCAGGAGTCGAGGAGAGGAAAGAGAAGGCTAAGTGTAGCTTAGCTCAGTATTAGAACCGTGATCCATGTAACCATCACTCTGTTTCCTACGTTTGTTTCCCTTTTGTTTTCCCTAGAATAAGTGCTTTTTGTTTGTTCTGGACACCCACTGCTCCCAGGATAAAAGAGAAATGAGACCAGTTTTTAATACTTCCTCTTTAAAGAATCAACAACTTATAGTCATGTTAGGGACTTCTCTCTCCAAGCTTAAATTTCTATTACATAAGAGCTACTTTTAACCAAAAAATCAGGGATGTGGTATCACTGTCTGGGATGCTCACCCCTCTCTTTTTTCTTCAGATACTCTGTGTATGCGAAAACTCGGCCAATGCTCAGCTTTGTGATAAAGAAGCTGTTGCGTGTCTTTATCTCTGCCTTTAGTATACAATCTTTTTATAATAGAAAATGTTCACTTCTCCCATTTATTTCATGCCCGGACTTTCTTCATGCCTGGACTTTCTTAAGGTGGTGGGAGATGGTGTGTCATTACTCTCTACCCCTTCCTGGCTGAAACAACATATGAGTCCATGGTGGAACTTCTTTAGGGGAAAAAAAAATAGGACTGTTTGACTTTTGCCACTCTTCCCTCCTGAAATATTTTTTAGGCTATCAAATAAGCACTTTTACGCATTGAGGAGGCTTTGAAATAACTTCATCAGTGAGTCTGGAGGTGAACTGGGATGGCTGTGTAGCTAGAAAATATCCCTGTGGGTGTAGGAATGTACTGTCCCTTCAAACTTGTGTGTCTAGGGCTGAGCTCACACATATGACAGCAAGAGTTGTTAACAAATTGGATTCAGCTTTGGCAGTTTTATGCTTAGAAATGCAAAAGAATCTTAAAAGCTCATAAGTTTTGTATTTTTAAAGGAGAAATGGTTTGCTTTATGTTGCAGAACCAATTTTTCTTTCCATCATAAAAGGCCAATTTCCAGAAACGCAGGGAAAGGGCCCCCTCACCACAGTGCTGTGCGTTTGGTCGGGTTTTACTAGGGGTTTCAGCAAAGGCAGGAAATGCTGTGGGAATAACAATGCCAGAGTCATCTTTGGAAGTGGAACTCAGCTGGTGGTGATGCCCAGTAAGTGGCCATGTTTTATTGATATTTGACCAAACAAGTAAGTCCCATGAAGTTAGTGGAGATTTAATTTAATATTTAAACAAATGTACTTCTTGAAAAATGACTTGCATATACATGAAATGTTCGTGATTATTGAGACTAGAGCAATAATGAGATACATAAAGGTAAAATGAGACCATCCCAACTCACCTTTAACATGGTGGTTTAGCCCTCTTTCTTCTAGAGAGAGATGGGGCCATGAGTTATTTACAGCCAGAATGTCTCCTAACCTTTGTTCTGCAATGATTTGTGTGTTTACTCTGATTTTAGCCACAGAACTTGTTTTCCATTCTATTAAAAATGAGTATCTATCTTATTTTAAATGCTACTAATATTCATAAGGTATCTTCTTTGTCTCTTGTGCCTGCATATATATTCATTTCAAAAAGATCTAATAAGAAACCCAAACATTGTTGCATTTTGACAAATGTCCACATCTAGTCCCATAATGTCAAATTTCACTAAAAACACAGCCTGACAATTCAAATCCAGTGGAAGAAAAAAACGACTCAGAAATAGATTGACAATCCCAGATGGCTTTATAAGCACCTAAAAGGAAAATTCGGAGTGAAATGAAATGGCAGGTGTGATAACATGATTTTTGTTTAATGATCAATTCCTCCATGGGGAATAAAACTTTTTAAACACACCTCCTTGAAAAAGAGGGAAATAGGCATTCAGGAGCCTGGCATTCCCAGGTGTGCTCCTGGGTTGTTCATTTCTCGACATTGCCATCTTGGAGACAACAGGACCCATCCAAATGTCCAAACAAAAAAATGATATTAAGAGGCAGGTGTCACCATATTGACTGACTGTTATTAAACCCTACAACAGGTTATAAGTAAGACTATAGAATGACCAACCCAAGGAGCTTTAAAATAGGATAGCCTAGTTTTAAATGGTTCAGCCATGGGAAATGCTGGAAGACAAGGAAATGAGGTAGATGACTCCATAGGTTTGTTTTATATCTAGTGAATATATCCATCCCATGTTAATTTTTTTTAAATGACTATGATAAAGAGCATCTTTGGGGTCAGGTAGACCATGAGGAAGAGAAAATGGTACTTGGTTCTTTAAGTGTCAAACAAGGATCCAGCCAGGGTTGATGGCAATGGCATAAGGCTTGCATCTCTTGGTGGTGAGATACCACATCCAAGGACTATGGAAGGAAAACATTTCCTAAAACACGGGGATCCCTCTGGGCCAAAATGAATGATGCTCACAATCCCCAGCTAGAGCAAGGCTATAGTGAGTACAGCAAACATAAGGCAAAGTATCCTCAGAATTTGGTAACATGGCAAATTGTAGAACTTAAGGCTTAGAGCCAAGGTCAGGGGAGGGCTCTGTAATGCAGTTCCTTCTCGGGTGAAAATCCAGGTATGTGCCCCAAGTGACCCATTTCTGCCCCATTTTTGTTTGGGCTCTGAAAAGTGGATTCCTAGCTCAGTGGCTGTCTGCCAGGTATTTTTTGCCTACAGTAACAGAATTATGTCTGATATCGGAAAGGAGTTTGTTGAATTGTTGCTTTTATAATTCACTCTCAGTGTCAAATGAGGTCATTCAATTTCCTCCTGCACATTTGCAATAAGCAGCATAAAATTCAAGCAGGACAACTAGAAGACAGAGAGAAAGATGGCTGAGCTGATAATGAGGCCTGTTTATTACAGGAGAAGAGACAATATAGGAATCTGTTAAGTCCCATGAAGGTGAAATAGCCATCAAAAAATATGTAGCTTTCCAAAAAAAAAAAAAAGTCACTAGGAGTTTTTGTTATGGTCACAATCACAGTGTGAACACAGATTACAAAATCATCTTTGGAAAAGGGACACGACTTCGTATTCTCCCCAGTAAGTGCTGATTATGTGATTTTCTAATATTGACTCCCACCAAGTTAAAAGCGTTGAGTGTGTTGAGTGAGAAAGTTTCAAAGACTGTGGGTGGCCTCTCGGTTCTGGGCTCTTCTCTTGCAGAGGCCCAGTCCTCACCCTTTCCATAGCTGAGCCAAATACCAAATTCCCCCCTCCAGGACTGCAAAAGCTGTTGCCGGCCTTCTGCTACCCAAATATCAACTATCTTTTTCATTGTTAGGAAGAGCAAAAGAATCATGACACTTTGTCCAGAACTTTTTTTCTGGTCTTTCCCCCAGGCTTGTCCCTGGTAACCTTTGTTTGGACACATTGTTAAGCCCGGTGTGGTTTTTGGCTCCAACTAAATTGATTTTGGAAATGACTCCAGTATACCTATGACTCCTCTCCTTCCACCCTCCATAAAAGATCTATTTTTCTCTGGCCTCTGCTGAGATTTCTGGCTTTGATGCCCCATGATCTCTCCTTTCCTTTGTTCCAGGGATAAGTGAGAGGTGGCTTTTTAAAGAGCTACTTTCATGTTAGAGACAACAAAGATGATATGCCAGCCAGCAGCACATCTTGCATTGAGCCTTCTCACTCTATGCCATTTTCCAAATATTTTTTCTTTATTTAGGATAAATGACCACTCTCTTTTATTTCTAGTACAGCAAAGAGTTCATCATGATGTCAGAAACAGGGATTTCCTTTGGAATATTTTTCACAGGCTAACAATTGTTAGAAGTCAGCAAGCAGTTCAGAAATGCATCACTGGGCTACAACTCCATGTATGGAAGCTCATCAGCAGGGTAGACAGGCAAAGCAGGAACATTTTGATTATACCATACTTTGTAGAGATTCGACAAGAAGTAGGCAAATACATGCTAAGAAAGAACAAAAACTATGATTAAGCGGGGAGATTTCTAGATGATTCTAACAGGGAAGATGACTAACAAGAGGAAATTTCCAGGAAAACCACCAATGCCAGGCATTCAGGGTTTTTGTTATGCAGGAAATCACTGTGGGGATTCAGGAAACACACCTCCTGTCTTTGGAAAGGGCACAAGACTTTCTGTGATTCCAAGTAAGTGTTTCTAGCCATTCCTGATTTTGATCAGCAATGGCTGCTTCCCCTGAATATTTTTCAGTGTACCTAGAATGCTTTTGCCCCCAAGAAAGGTTTAGAAGGAGCTGGGCCATTAGCACTGAGCAGGAGGATGAACAGGTTACTCTGTTATATTTCAAAAGCCAACTGGACAGTCATGACCACACACAGAACTGGGCACTGCACTGCACCATGACCTCATTGCCTCCAGCTTCTTCTGACCACACATTCTGGCTCAGTTCCCTCCTCTGATCCCAGGAGACCAAAGCCCTAGGCAGAGAACCAGACATAGAAAGGCTTGTCTGAGATCTAAAAGCTGCAGGTTTCTGCTTAATGCTGTTATTAATTTTGATTTGCCCAGATAATACACTAAAATTTCTCATTGTAAACCATTCAAATTACAGATAAAGGCCGGGCAAGGTGGCTCACACCTGTGATCCCAGCACTTTGGGAGGCTGAGGTAGGTGTATCACCTGAGGTCCGTCGAGACCAGCCTGGCCAACATGGTGAAACCCCACCTCTACTAAAAATACAAAAAGTAGCCGGGCATGGTGGCAGTCACCTGTAATCCCAGCTACTCAGGAGGCTGAGGCAGGAGAATCACTTGAACCCGGGAGGTGGAGGTTACAGTGAGCCAAGATTGTGCCTTTGTGCTCCAGCCTAAATGACAAAAAAAATAAATAAATAAAGCAAACATTCCCCTTGGCCCCTTCCTTCATTATCAGTTTCCTCCACCCCAAAAGTGACCACTGAGACCAGCTTGGTGTGTTGTAATGAGTTTCTCTGTGGAATATGTTTATGTGAAATCGTGTCTTCAGCCAGGGAAGCTTGAGAGGGAAAGGGCTCAGACTGCTGTTTGCAGGATTTCAGTTAGATATAAGGAACAGTTGCTTGAATGTAAGGGCTGCTAGAAAAGGAAAGCTTTTTAAAAACTAGAAGCTCTTAATAACTAGACAGCTCTTTGGTCAGAAAACACATTGGCTAAGGACAGGAGGATGGAGTCGGTGACCTCAGAGTCCAGCTAGGACTCCGGAGGACTCTGCGGAGTGGTCCGTTTCATAGACCGCCTTTGCGATGCCCTTCTCTCTTGCCTATTGTCTAGTTGCTGTTACAGTCTGAGCTTTTGTCAGAGCAGCTCCTATGCTGGGAGTGGTCTGATTTTCTCAGCACCTGCGGGGTTTTTGCAAAGAAAGGAAACCCTGTGCATACTCTGGGTCCGGGAGTTACCAGCTCACTTTTGGGAAGGGGACCAAACTCTCGGTCATACCAAGTAAGTTCTTCTTTCTGGCTAATTATTCTTCCCAAGAACCCTGTCTTCCATCATGCAGAAGCTGTCAAAACACAGGTGGTGTTTTCTTTGCTTGGTTTGTGTTGGGTGGTTCATGATACCAGTTGGAAAACAAGGTTATTAATGCACATATTCCCTGGGGCTTTGCACTTGGACTTTTAATACCCATGTAGTCTCTCCCTGTGAAAATATGTGAACCTCTACGAAAAGAAAGGTCCAAGGAAAGGGTAGGGGGAAGCAGGAATTGGATGAAAATAGCAAAAGGGCCTGCGGGAATACAAACAAGACAGGATCCCAGGAGACAAAGCAGTAGCCACTTTGAGTGAATTTCCCAGGAGGTGCTCCTGCCAAGGCCCATTCCTTCAAGGAAAATTACAGCAAATAGAATTGGGCCGGGGAGTTGCTAGTTATTAGTATTCCTCCCAAGTTCTAACCTAATTACAAGGAGGTTGTTGTGGCCATCGGCAGACATCTCAGGTTTTGTTTTCCTGCTTGCCTCCCCCACCTCCACCTGTCTTCCTAGAGGCCTGAGTCAAGGTTATTGCAATAGCACTAAATACTGTGTAGCACCAATACAGGCAAATTAACCTTTGGGAATGGGACTACGCTCATTGTGATACCAAGTAAGTTGTGTTCTTCTTTGCTTAGGCCTTCAGGGGCAATCGATCAAATCATTAGTTTGAAAAAGACTTTAATCCTGTGCATCTGCTTGGGCTCTTTATTAATGATCTTTCCCCAGGCCAAAGAGTTGGTTCTCTTCCCTGCTTTAAAATGAGATGTGAGTGCATGTATTCATGCACACACCTGCGTCCACATGCAGACTCTTGCTCTAGCTCATGCTAAGGGCTTCTCAGGAGCATATACAACATTTTGAAAGAAATAGAGAAACAATAATGAGCCAATGAAGCTGTCAGGCAGGTTCTCCACCACCCCTGACCAGGCTTCCCAACAGGATCTCTGGCCATATAGGATGTGCTATATCGGATGGTCCAGGATAGGAAATGTCTCTCTGTAGTGAATTCCAAAATTTGGCAACCCTTGTTGACAGAAAGTACTTCTCATATCTAAGTTTGATCGCCTTGCTGCGATTTAAATATCTACTTGAACCACTAGAACTCTGTGCATCTGGATTGAGAATCAGGTCACTACCGTAGAGTATGAGGCTTGGCACCGAGTCCACCTCTGCAACCCCTCTTACCTGTCTTGTGCCCCTCTGGACATTTTGAGCTTAAGTAATAATAGATTAAGAAGGATAGCACAAACTTTGGAAACAGAGAAACCTGAATTCAAGTCCTTGCTCTACTATTTACCTAGCTGTGTGACCTTGAGCAAGTTACTTAATCTCTCTGAGCCTCAGTTTCCCATCCACAAAATGATGGTAAAAATATTCCTGCCTCACTGAGTCACTGTAAAGATGAAATAATACAGCTAAAGTATTTAGCATAGTGCTCAGAACATAGAAAAAGCTCATTAAACTCTAGCTATTAATAATAATGATAAACATCATCTCCAACCCACTGCAGAGCCTTTGTTTTGCCCCTCGGGCTCTTCTGTCAAGGCTCTGTTATGCATCAGGAGCAGAGCTGGAATCGGGGGAGGGCGGAGAATGTCAGCCTGTTCTATGAAATTCCTCACCTGGGATTTGAAAGTGGAAATAGAAAGAATCCTGACTAATTTAAATACAAAATCATCCAAGTGTCAGAGGCAGGGGAGAGGTTTCTGCAGACAGCTGCATGGCTGGGACTCTTGAGGCTCCACACACACCCTTGGAGCAGGGATGCAGTTCACAGGATGGCAGAGGAAGGGCTGCAGAACTGAAAACTTGTACTACCCCATCACCAAAATGCCCCCAGCATGACTTCCTTTAAGGTGTCCCAAGTCCCTTCCCAAAAGACAGGCTCCCCATGTGGAGGGGCAGGGACAGAGGGAAGATGAAAACTTCATGGGAGGGACAATCTGTCCCAAGGTTGTCCTTCTACTCTTCGGGGTAGTGAAGCTCGTGAGAAATATGGCTCCTGAAAATAGCCACTAAATGAAACTCTCAAACCTGGAGGTAGAGGATCAGTAAAGTCTGCAGAGACGAAATGGGGCAGTTTATTTCAAAGAAAAGAGGTTGAGGGCAAGGTGGGAGTTAAGTCACACATCTAAACCTGGAAAGGAGGCATTAAACAGAAGATGGAGGGACTCAGCTCTCCAGCTCCACCAGGATTCAGACCACAGGACATGGCTAATACTGCAAGAAGGGAGTTAGGTTAGTGGTAAAACCTTTCTAATAGATTTTTGAACAGTGAAAATGAGCTGTCAGGAGTAGTTGCCAGGGCACTTTCTCTAGAGGGTTTTTGAAAGGAGATAGACGCCCTCCTATCTGCAGTGACTGGAGTACAGCCCTGCCTCGAGGCAGGAGGAGAAATGAGAGAACCTCTTTAAGCCTCTTTCCAGCCTCCGGAGCGTCTCTCCATGAAAAAGACTCAGACTCATTAATGCAGAGCTGCATCCTTCAGGACACAGAGGGTTGCTAGCTTAAGTTTGGAACCTTTGCTGGCTTGGCGGTTCCCAAACTCCCGTTGTTCTCAAGACATGACAAGACAAATGGGCTGGATTTTTCACCTTAGAGCCAAAAATACTGGTTCTGAGTACTGGGTTGTTTGTAGTGTTGAGATGCCCAGGCTAGAGGGAGGAAGCTCCAGAGGGTTTTTGCTGAGCCCAGAAACACTGTGGGGATAACTATGGTCAGGATTTTACCTTCGGTCCCGGAACCAGATTGTCGGTGCTGCCCTGTAAGTAAAGTTAAGTGGAGATAGAAAATAAGCCCAGTGTTCGATGTGGGGAGAAGCTGCAGGGGCTTGAGGCTGGGAGTCCACTGTGACCTCAGGAGTGGTGACGGAGGAGGTAGGAAGGGAGTGAGAAGCAGAATCATAAGAACAATACAGAAAGGAAGGGCTCACAGTTTCAGGAAGGAAAAAAAAATCACAAGGTCATATGAATAACACTGGAGGAAATTCACTCCATTGGAGAGCTCCTTCTCAGGAGGGCCTTGTGTCGGGAAAGCTGAGCTGGTAGGTTTTTGATGCTGAGATAATCACTGTGCAGAAGGACAAGCCTTCTCCTTTATCTTTGGGAAGGGGACAAGGCTGCTTGTCAAGCCAAGTAAGTGGTATATAATTTAAATTCCGTGCTGAATATTATTATCTCCAAGAGGAAAACCTGCCCTCTTTTTTTTTTTTTTTTTACGGGAGTCTCCTTGGGTCAGAAGAACATTAAAAGTGTTGAGCAGACCAAAGCCTAGTACCTTAGTCACCTTCTTCATCCTTGAAGGAGCTTTAGAGGTGTGGAGGGGAAGAAACTTACCAGGACTCCACCGATAAGCCAGGCCTTGGGACCCATCTACTCTGTCAGATTTGAGTAAGAAAAATCACCTGCTGGCAAGGTCTTTCTCAGAAGGGGACTCCAATATAGTCATCCTCATTTGATAGATTTTAAAACTCAGGGCCAGACATGGTGGCTCATGTCTGTAATCCCAGCACTTTGGGAGGCTGAGGCGGGTGGATCACCCGAAGGTCAGGAGTTCGAGACCAGCCTGACCAACATGGTGAAACACCATCTCTACTAAAAATACAAAAAATTAGCTGGGTGTGGTGGTGGGCACCTGTAATCCCAGCTACTCAGGAGGCTGAGGCAGGAGAATCGTTTGAACCCAGGAGGCAGAGGTTACAGTGAGCTGAGATCATATCATTGCACTCCAGCCTGGG